AAAGTCAACATTAAAAGTAAATGATGGCTGGTGTGGGTCTTCCAGGCTGTGTGGCCGTGGTCTTGAAGTCTTGAAGAAGACCCACACCAGCCATCATTTACTTTTAATGTTGACTTTTTATATTTTTAAATGCTTGTTTTTATATATGTATTGTATATAAATATATATACAAATATATATGTATTTATTTGATTATTGTACGCTGTCCAGAGTCATTTCTTGTGAGATAGGCAGCTATATAAATTTGTGAGAGAGAGAGAGGGGGAGAGAGAGAGAAAGTTAGTTCTGTTTTCTTTTTCACTTCACTGAATTGTTCACCTTATGTCTCATATCTGGAAATATGGCTGATTGACATCAAGAAGGGGCTATAAATCTCTTTAAACACCAGTACAAAAAAAATGGATTGAACCTTATTGCTCTAAGGACACGAGAGGCTTGCAAAACTGAGGCCTTCTGGAAATGACTAGGAAATAGGAAGAAACATTCCACAGCTGTATGCTGTCTGACAATATAAATGCTTATCTTTGCAAAGTAGGGGCAAATCTTGATGTATAATACTAGGATCAGTGTAACTTACATTTACTGGTTTCTCCCAGTGAACTCCTTTGAAGTGCTATTGGAGCCTCTCCAAAGGCTTATTTCATTTTGAAATGATTATCACAAGATCCTTAGTTTTGGATGAATCTTTTGCCTGAGTTTATTATCTGCTTTTGTGTGATAAAGCTAAATGAAGCTGTTGTCTTCAATGCCATTCAGGGTGGCCATCATTCTTTGCAACTTGTAGCAATATATGGGATGGAGTGAGCAGTCTCTAAGTCAGCAACTCACCCCCTTCTATCAGAGCCAAGGCTTCCTGTCCCTCCAACTTGTCTTTTTAAATGTTAACTATGTTTAATTATTCAAGCTGGCTCAGTTAACAAGCAGCCAAGTTCAGATGGTGGTAGCCCTGCCCTTTACCCAGAAATCCTCTGGTATTCAGAGAAAAGTCAACAGTGAAAGTGTTTGTGATGGAAGATGTGTGTGTGAATGAGAGAGACTACATGAAGTTCATTCATGTGTACACACACAAGTGTGCACCAAGGAGAAAAAAGGAGAATGCAACATTTCATGTTCGAACAAGTCCTCATTTCCACGATGGCAAATCTTTATTGCAGTCCAGGATGCTTTCTTGAAATTCTAGATGTATTCAGATGTGCAAATATATATAGAGAGAGAGAGGGAAGGAGGGAGTTTTGCCAAAAACACAGCATGGTGAGGTAAATGGCAGGGCAATTTGCTAGGAGAACGTTTTAGTTTCCTTACACTCTCTTCCCAGAAAGAAATCATTGTTTCCAGTCTGAGCCAAAGACTGGAATGGATCTCCCCAAATTTAGTTTAATGGAACTGTCTGTGAAAATCACTGTCATGACTCTCTTGCTGTTCAAGCCAGGAAAGGTTTGATTGAAACCAAAGATCTCCAGCTGATTTTCTTGGAACTTAATCAATAGACACTTCAAGGAGCCAGCAAACATTTGAGTTCAGCGCAAGGTAGAAAGCGTAATGCATGAACTCAGCAAGTCTGTGGAGCTGAGAATTGGCCTAGATCTGGTTTGTATGCCATTTCTCCTATTGTAGAAGGGGAATTGTGTATGATGGGCACATCCTTCTCAGTCCAAATCCTTTGTCTGCATATCTAAAAGTAGAAAAGAGTTTTGGGAAGGGAAATTTAGCTCATTTTGTGGGGATCATCTGGCCATATGCCCCCATCTGAAATCCAAGGAAGCAAGCCAGTTACTCCAATTCTATAATATACCAGCTTACTTGCGTGCTTGTTGAGCACTGTGATTGCTAATAGATGAAATAATAAGTTTTTCACTACAATCATTTATGTCCTGGACACAAGCTGTGGTCTTTGAGTAATGCTGATGCAGGATATTAATTTCAGATCTAGACCCTGATTTAGGCACAAGTTATCATTTCAGAATTGCAAAACTGGCATGACACAGTTGTTTTTCAAATTCTGATCTCAATACAGGGCTAGAATTGCCTGGAGTTTATTTTATTAGAGGTATCAGGTACTGAATGCCTTCTGACAGATGGTAGCTTTTCAGAGTGGCCTTGTTCACCGATAATACTAAACAGTAAATGTGGTTTCACACATCCTTTTTAAGTCAAACCAAAACAAACCATACTATGGCTATAGGCTGTGCTGAAAAGAGGCTATAAATTTTTAACATCTCTTTCTCTCTCTGTCTCTCTCTCAGAGTTTTAGTAAAAAATTAGACTTCAGGAATCATAACCAAAGTTAAAAAATGCTCTTTTTAGCCTTCTCAGATTGCATATCTTGGATGTTTTAAATGTCTTGTAAAAACTGTTGCTTGTAAACGTAACAACTGAAACATTGCATATGAGCAGCTCCTTTTGATGCTTCACATAAGTTTGCTTGTGCTTCTGAGAACTTTATGCAGAATTTAGTGGCCTGAGACTATAATGAGGGAGAAATTATAGCATGCTTGGCATATACAGTATAATCCAGGTTAAATCACTGACCTCTGCCTTCATTAAACAAGGTAAAGAAGGCATGTGAACCCAACCCCTTTATGAACAGTGGCCATGGGAAGCAATCTGATCCTGGACAGCCAAGGGATAGAATGGACACAAGCTATACTAATTCTAGCTTTATCTCACTGACTAAACGCTCTGTTCAGCCTTGTGAAATGAGATGGGCTGAGAGAAAGTAGCTGGCCCAAAGTCACCCAGTGAGCTTCTGGGGCTGAAGGTAGACTAAACTTGGGTCTCCCCATTCCTAATCCAGCATCTTAATCACTATACTGGATGCATCATCCACCCCAGTCCTTAACAGTCTTCCTTTCCCAGCTAGCAGGGATCATCTTGGATCTTGCTCTGGATGACTCTGGGCTCCTTCTCTAGGGTATTTCCAGAGTCCGTAGTTGGGTTTTTGAGTCAGGAGCTGCTCAGGATTGTATGTACTTCCCAGGATCCAATGCTTCTGTCAAAATGATAAGAGTTGCACCATGCCTGTCCCTTTTGGACATGCATTTTTTCTTCACACTATGTCAAGGAATGAATCCTTTTTTAAAAAATAATTTTCATTGAAGAAATTTTTAACAAAGTAAAAAACATAAAAAAAATAAAAAAAAAAAAGAAAAAACATAAATAGCGAAAGAAGAAAATAGAAATAGAAAAGGAAAAGAAGAAAAGAAGAAAAGGAAAGGAGAGATTATAAAGAAGCAACTTCTGATCTTCTTGACAATGGTTATAAATACATTTATATTTTGCCCTTTCTCTCTAAAGTTACATCATAATTTATTTCTTTCCATAAGCTACCCTTTCTAATATGAATCCTTTTTTAAAAAATAATTTTCATTGAAGAAATTTTTAACAAAGTAAAAAACATAAAAAAAATAA